GTCTGGTTAAACGTCAAGTCCCTGGAGTCCCTCATCAATAAATCAAGGCTACCATGTCGTTCTGGTCATTGATCCGCAATGGATAAGTTCAAAGGTTAAACGGAAAGGGGAGATGAAATTCCAGCAAGCAGGAGGAGAAAAAAGCGAATTAATTGAGAAAAAATAAGAAGTAGGAAGGATAAAGGTTGAAGAATGAAATGAAATAGAATCTAAATTAAACAAGAATTACAGCCCAGGTACAGATCTGCCATTCCACTGGCCACCATACCCCTGGAATTATCTCCCTCCGACGCATCCTAATTTCAAAAGTTAAAGCTGTCATTCGTACGTCGCAGGCCAGCAGGGAGAGGGAGAGGACGTCGCGCATCCGCATCAGGTGAAGATGGGAGGAGAGTACAACCTAGAGGTTGCCAGATAGAGCATTTCACGAGTACGCCCAGCAACCCTGTCTACGCTGCCACGAACAGTCGCTCTCTCCCTTTTTCTACCTTGGTTCCGTCCTCCGCAAGAGCGAGAAGAGAACTAGAAGTTTCAGTGCTTGACTGACATCCCAGCCCATGCTAAAGACTGCACATGCGCACTGAGTCGAGTTGTCCGGTTGTTATGGAAACTGCAGACAGACGAAATGACAAAGGAAAAAGTGACCGACCGATCGCAATATCTGCCATTTTCCCATAGTACCTACAGGACTGACAGGTAATTAAATTATTAAAAATGGTAAGAGTAAAGATGGACAGCATGTACAGAAAAAAGCAGGAAGTCTTCTGGATAAGAAATTTGCAACTGGTCTTGAATCCCCACTAACCCAACCTTTCATCCACTCCTACCTCTCCCTATTTTCTTTCAATATCTATTGATTCTTCTCATTTCATTATTTTCCTTCAAATATCAATTTTGGTTCCTGACGGGATGTTGTTTCTTGTGCTCCCTAACGAGTTATTTTCGTATTTCCATCTAAATCATATTTTTCTTTCCCCCATCCCCATTTTCATAATTTTACCCTATCTTATTTTGCAGCTCAGTGTGAGTCCAAAATTCAGATGTTGTTCTTTTCATCACTCCTGATATCATGAATACTACGGACTTTGGGAAGACAGTGGTTTTGCGGGCATTTTTTGTTCCCATCACCATGGCATTTCCGTTTTTGTGTTTCTACTGACGCCTAGTTTCACATTTTTCCCATCTTTAAATATATGCATTTTATCTATTATCCTGTATCATGGAGACAACCCCAACATTCTATCCAGGTCTATACGATTCCTTCCCAGTGTTGGTAGGTCGGTGTGTTGGTAGGTTGGTAAATGGGAAGATCTAATTAAACTAATGGCAGTTAAACTTGCTGCAAACCAGAGGAAACGAAGCGCTCTATTGTCGTGGAAGGAGTCACCATGACCTACAGAGACTACCACCTAAGTTGCACAAAAACGTTTAATGTATGTTCAATGAACGTTTTATTTAAGGTATTGCCAACGTTCCACGAATGTCCTTCGGAACGTTCTATTGACTGCTTAAATGTCCGAAAATGAGAGCTATAAAAAAATTATTCAAATTATGCGTTCCCTGAACGACGTGAATTCATTAAGGATGTGAATTGGATAGTCCCAAGAAAAGTGTAAAATGAATTATTTTACAGGTTTCTTCCAATAAACAATTAATGTCTTGGAAACGATCTTTTCATCCCTCAAATTGTATTCAGTCCAAGTAAAGCCTTGCTCCAGTGACAAGGGTCAGAGGCAATCATGTAACTGATAAGTTTGGTTGGAAGTACTATCTTCCCTTTTCTGGGATTAGTCTGGCGGAGGTGATTGTGGTAATACAGTCAAATTACAGAAAATTCCATCATAAATGCAGCTATCACACATTCAGGAATCAGACACGCCTTGCACTAAGCTCCTTTTTCATGGGAGCGATTAAATGCACTTTCATCTTCTCCATTTCGGGTCCATTCCCATGAAGTCACCTTGGATACCGAACCATCCTCCCTCCATCTTTCAAGCCAGAGTTTCCTGGAGACTCCTTGGACTGGGTTACCTCTTACGACCGATTTGTTAAAGAATTCAAATATCGCCCCCTCTGGTGTATGTGGATAATGATCAGCCGCCACGTGGAAGGTATTGGGGACGAATTCCAGCTGTATCAAGAATTGACCCACTGACCCGACTACTTTGGCGTCATCAGGCTTCAATTATGCAAACCTTTGGTTCAAGCCATTGTCAGATGGATACCAGAGATATGCTTGAGGAAAACGTCTCTAATGTTCAACGAATGTCCTTTTAAAAATGACATGGTGATCCAACGGCACCTTAACTGAGCGCCCAAAAGCTGCTCATCCGCGTACGTTGGACGCCCAAAACCCCCTTTGAAAACAAGTTGAACGTCCTCAAGAACGTTCATGTGTTACTTTGGCACTGTCATATGTATAAAGCCCACAGGTCTCGTTTTACCTCTGATTATCCATGGCACCTATTCATGTGAATAGAGCATGGCGTCAACAAAGACGAAGAAAAAAGAATTTAGTAAAATCCTAGAACCGAAACGGCAATAAAGGATGGGGACTCCTAGTCTCAGAAGCATCAACGGTTAGCATCATACATCGGCTCAGACGAATGGAGGAACATCCAGGACGCAACACAGTTACGATCAGGAAATCGCCTTTTCTACTGCAGGCTCCCGTTTCCATATATTATACTTTTACTTTTTTGCCATTTACCTTTGCGACTGGGATACGGGGAAACAATATAACCTTGAAGAACCCTCGCGTTCGTCGGCTTCCTTGCGTCGTTCGTGAGCGCATCTAAGGACTGGAGGTGATGTTAGCAGTGACGAAATAGCACGTCATTCTGAAATTTTGCATTTTGAGTGATGGACCCCCCACGAGGAAACTGTGGTGATGGACTTCTTTGCGGAGCCAGTGCGAACGCAAGTGGCGACGAACTGACGAGTCGCCCAGTATTTCATCACGGAGGCTTGAAATCTCGATTCACGGCAGCAGGCGCGAGGCACTGCGTCAGGCGATGCCACCGTCCCCTGACGAGTACGACGGCAACTCTCGTCTCTCTGTCCATCCTGAAGATGGCGAGACGAGAGTGAATCTACGATTTTCTGCGAAAGTTGCCTCCCCCCTTTCGTGAGACGAACCTGTAAATTTAATATCGCAAAAACACATCCTCGGATGATGAGGAAGATTTAGGTGAAAACAACCAGTTCATATCTCGAAACGTTAGACCTGTAGAGCTGTCACACACACAAACACATTTGTCACTCGGCATAGCTGAGCATAGTCAGGATTGCGCACGCTGTGTTTAATCTCCGAGCCTCGGCTGCTTCGCAACTGAGGTCCTCCGGTTTGAACTAGTTAAACTATTGGAAGAAAAGAGCAAAAAACAGATTGTAGCAAAAGCGACCCATAGATTGCTTATACGCAACGTCGTGTAGAAGTTGCCCTATGCGGAGCGATTATAAATCCCCCTCCGCGGGGTTTGACGTAAGTGTGCACTCACTATATGGATGGTGACGATGGAACCAGGGGAACAGGTTAAATGAAGCATGGGGACGGAGATTGTTGCCATTCGGGAACATTGAACTTGACCAGAGTGCTCGACCAGGTCACTTTTGTGAGGATTGATGTTCTACCCAAAATCGCATTTCTGATGAAGGATCTGCTCTAAAATCCCTACGCGACAGTCATAAGCAGGCATTTTCTGCATTCCGACGTTAATAACACTTGCAATATCACCCGACCTCACTCCTTGCACACTCTGGCTATGGGACCAAAAACCGAGTTTTCACCGAGTGAAACCAGAAATCAGAAATAAGCTAGCCTCGAGGGTCAACCTAATCCAGCGCCTCGCTAGCACTACGTGGGGATCCGACGCACGTACCCTCCGAACCGCAACACTCGCCTTGGTCTACTCGACCGCGGAGTACTGCGCTCCTGTGTGGGCTCGCAGCGCTCACACAGACGCAATCGACAAGCAGCTGAACGCTGTTGGGGATCCGACGCACGTACCCTCCGAACCGCAACACTCGCCTTGGTCTACTCGACCGCGGAGTACTGCGCTCCTGTGTGGGCTCGCAGCGCTCACACAGACGCAATCGACCCGCAGCTGAACGCTGCTCTTCGAGTGGTAACCAGATGCCTCAAGTCGACTCCGCTCCCATGGCTCCCAGTGCTCGCGCACATCCCCCCTGCAGAAATCCGGCGAGACATGGCGACTGTGCGCGAGTACAAGATTATTGCCAACCCGTCCCTCCCGATTCATCGCGACATCGATGAGACCATCCCGTCCCGCCTAAAATCAAGACGTCCTTTCTGAACAGCCGCGAGAATCCTGCACGACCTGGTGTCGTGCACAGAAGAACGCTGGCGAGAAGCCTGATCTCGCGTGGACGTGAAAAATAAGAACCTCATCGACGATCCATCAGCTGAGGTACCAGGTGTCACACTCCCACGCCGCGAATGGGTGACCTTAAATCGCATCCGGACTCTTCATGGTCGTTCCGGACAAATGATGCACAAGTGGCGTATTAAACAATCGCCAACGTGCGAATGCGGCACTCCAATCCAAACTATGGAGCACATCATCAACGAGTGCACATTGTACTTATTTCCCGGTAGCATCAAGGATATACACGCAGCATCACTAAAAACTATCGACTGGATTTCAAAGATTAACATCAATTTCTAATAGTCGCTATACCCATACGAAAGAAGAAGTAGGCAATTTGAGCAGGGTCCAACCACTAATGAATCTCGGGCGATTTTTTATCTCCCCCCTCATTTTCCTGGTTCGTCAACACTGTTGAAAGGACGACAAAGACCAGGTATGCAGGATTCCAGGGGAAGAAAAAAAGAAAGAGAATAAACAGTTTATTTATTTTAAATCGCACCTCGATAAAAGAAAAAAAAGATGAATCCGAGACGCATGAACATAGAATACTGAATGAGGAATAAGGTAAGTTTCTATATTCACGAAAGTAAAGAAGGCAACCCTCCAGGACACGATGGCGATGCAGTGAAGTGGCCGGGTCCTGGTTGCAGCGGGAGCGGCAGGTGACTCTTTTGTTATTCACATGACCTGGGTTGATCTCGTCGAAAAGTCACTCCTTTCGCTTTGAAACTGTTTCTACTACGTTGTACCTGTCAAAAAGGAGTCAGGCCATGGCAAGCAGCGAGAGTAAGTTATCACCTCCGGTTGGAGAAGAAACCTTTCCTTCCGATCACGAGCCCGCTACAAAGAAACCGAAGCTCGACGGATCGAACATTACGCGCATCGATCACACGTTACCTTCAAAAACTGAGGAAAAAGAAAATTGCCGAGAAAATCTGGACGAGGAAACGCACCGAGGACAGCATGTAGGGGAAGACTCAGAAGTTGCTACGAAAACAAATCAAAGTAGGCCAATTGCGAGTGACACCCAACGACCAAGGGAAGAAGAGAGTGTCCAACTCCTGGAGTCATCATCTCAAGAAGGAGCTCTTGAAGAACAGAAATCTGTGAGTTGAGGAGATCCTGGTCTGGGCCTAGTAGCCTACACAGGGCCAATGAGATGATTGCAACTCAAGCATTTTTTTTATGTACTTGATTAGAAATGTCCAGCAGGAGTGGTTTTGCTGGCAGGAGAATACAACTGGGACATCTGTGGTCGACAGAAAAGTTCAAAGGATTCCAAAAAAAATTTGCTGAAGGAGCCATTATGGGTTTTTCATAGAGTGAAAGATCTGGAGGTAAGCGTATGCTTCATAAGTCTTATGCTTTGCTAACTTGGGGGAATGAAGCTAGTTCATGAATGTGGGCTAGATAGCCACTAGTGCAGTCATGAAATTCATTCTTAGGGCCCAGGCATTGTATACAGCCGAACTTGGTTATAATGTAACCTCAGTTATAACGACAAAAAGTGCCAGTTCCTGGTGTAGAGCAAATAAGGCACGTTACATTTTACCTCAGTTATAGTGAGTTCAGGTATAGCGACAACCTCAGTTATAATGAAGTCCATTCAAGGTTCCACTGACAAAATTGACAGTTTCATGCCCCTAATCTGTCATTCTTAACTGAAATTTCTGTCATCGGAATAATGAGCGCTGGCAGGCTATAACTTTATATTTCCTGCTTGAAAGTCATGTGGGTGTAGCTGATGCAAGGTTAAAGAGGGATAATCCCTAGTAACCAAGATCACCTTATCTTCAGTTGCCATTTGTATTTCTCATTGACAACATGACTAATGGAAAACGAAAGAGGCCAGCCTTCACGATTGAAAGGAAAGTGTGCTTGATTAGTAATTTTAAAAAGTGCTTGAAGTAAAGCTAACATCACTCGTGAACATGGACATTGTTCATCTGTTTCCACAATTTGAGAAAATCATGAAAGCTTCATCCATGCTTGCGAGAACATGTCACAAAACAAAAACTTCCTAGATCTGTCGAGTTGATGTCAATGAAGCCCTGCTAAAGTATGTAGTAGTTCAAGGTCCAAAGAAGTGCGAACATTACGATTAGTGAGTTAATCCTGAAACTGAGGCCAGTGCGGTATGACCGATGTACACTGGAGTTGTAACATCATATAGCATCAATTTTGAAAACAAGAAAACAGAATGCCAACGAAGGCAACCTCAGTTATAATGACGGTTTTTCCCTGGTCCCTTCAATGATGTTATAACTGAGTTCAACTGTATACAATGATCTATTCAATGTCACCTCATTGGGTGCATTCATTACACAAGGGCTCAGCTGAACAATCTGACTGAACATAGCAATCACTAAAATGTTTTGCCCTTAAGTGCCTTCATCTACTGAACATATCTGTTGCTTTGACGTAAACCTGCAAGGACCAGTAGGAGCATAGCTGGCATGCTCCAAGTAGCAGTGCCCCTGTCTTTTCCTAGTCAGTAATTTGACTCTCACATCCAAACTGTTGTACACCATTTCTGGATTGGATTTGTACCCCCCAATGGAAGTACTTCCATTAATTGCTGGTAGTACCATCTTAGTATGGGTGGTAATGGGTGGTTATATCTTTTACCTAATGAAGCAGAACCTTTGAAAATGTGTTTTCTCCATTCTCCATTATAGGGGGGTGGTACAAATTTGTACAGTGTATGTGGTAGAATCACTTAGTAGCTATTCAGCTTCACCATGCTTGGGTGAGTCCAATTTGTTGGATACTTGTTAGAATGTCAATGCTCTCTCACCAAATTTTTTAGCTTGGAGTATTTGACTTTCCAGGTGTGGAACCTTCACCTGATATATATATGCATCAGAAGAATATGATATATGAGCTGACTAACTGATATCTGACTCAGCCCTAGAGTTGGGAAGGGGGGAGGGGGACCATAATAGAAGTGATTTCATCGCTATATCTGTCACTTCTTAATGAGATATAGCTCTGGTGTAAACTATATATGCTTGGCAAGTGATAACCTCCTGAAATAGTCCCATATATTAATACTATATATCCCTTGGCACTAATACTAAAACAGAACTATTCCATGTGAAGGTTCAAGTTTTAGTTTGGTTTAATTTATTCATGTAGATCTGCCTCTAGCTCAGAGGCTGACATTTGATTCTGGTAATTTTTTACCCAGAGAAATTATGAGTCATCTCACTTTGGCAAAGATCTGCATCTATTTTCATAATGTGTTCCTTATTTCTTTCCAGGGTATACGTGTTCAGAAAGTGGTATCTCATTGCACAGCTGCTCACAACATCTTGATCACTGATCAAGGACAAGCCTTAGCATGGGGTATGATTACATGATAAATAAATTCAGTATATGAAGTTGAATCTTTACAAGCCTAAGTTGTAGCTTATTGACTGGTTTTAATATTACAGGTCGAAATGACAAAGGACAACTGGGAGTAGGAGACACTGTGAAAAAGGACCATCCACAACCCATTTTGGATCTAAAAAATTTCACTGTTATTGATGCAGCATGTGGAAAAAGTCATACACTAGTGCTCACTGGTGGGTTATATTGCTGGCTTTTTTTTCTTTTGGCATGATATAGCTTCCCATGCAGCTTATTGCTAGGGTTACCATTCAATGCCATTTCTACCAGTTACATATACTCATTCCAATGAACCTCTACTCTCCTATATTACATGATGAATGTATGGCAGTCTGCTTGGGTGTGTAGGTAAATTACAACTGTTCCTCTCAGAGCATATGCTAAGTGCAGTTGAGCAAGTATAATTATCAGCTATCAATAAGTAAAAGTTAATTAAGTTCACTGGAGGTGCTTAGGTTACTACTACCTTCTACTGTGGTGCATTAGGTCAACTTTGCCCTAGGATGAGAATAGCTATTAGGATGTTGAGTCCAATGAAGTCACTTGATCAGGGCCTTGTATATCATAATAAGCATGCAGTGTTTGTATAGTTCAGTCAATCTTTAGGCTGACATTGATGGTATTTAATGCCTCCATCCATCATCCTATTTATCAGAAGGGGGCTTGTAAAGGGTCATGAAACAGCTCTCGTTTTTCAGATGTCAGGTGAGGTCAGACAGCATTAAATTTGCTTTGACATCACAAATCTATATCATGAAATGACCATATTAAGGAGAAAGAAAAATTTACTTTTTACTCACAAAATAAGTTTTTACTCTTGGTAGAAGGAAAAAGTTAGACTTGAAATATGGTAGAGCTTATTCTGATTACAATTTGCTTTCATAAGTAGGTGTCTCATTTCATCATCAAAAAGAGCTAGTATCCTTCATTTTTAAAGAATCTTCCCCTTCAATAATATTGTGAAGTATAAGGTGATTGTTTCTTACCATGCCTCAATAATTTTCAGTTATTGCTCAATATCAAACCCTGGTATTCAAAGCAAGGAAATTACTGGAAACATTGTAGTTTGAGTTTTTTCTCATTAGGCCCAGTAGCCATCAAGGTTTTCCAATATGGCCTCTTTTGCTATGGTGCAACTGACACTTTTGCCTGGTGCAAAATTAGCTTACTGAAGTGGCAGCTTCAGTCACTGCTGAAAATCAGTGATTTTTGAGTTTTCAAGTTGAAAAGACAAGTCAATGCCACTCCTGCCACTTCATCCAAAGTCTTTGTTTTAAAGACCTGACTGGACTGTTATGACTGAAAGAGGTCACTCGCAATAAAAATTGAATTAATGGATGTGGAAACATTTTTTTTTCTAATTTTCATTTTTTGCTATCATTTCACTATAATGAATAGACAAATAAGAATTATTCAGTTAGCTTATATTTCATGATTTGTTATTTATCTTTATCTTATTTTACCTGGTTTTCTTGTTCTTTTATGCAGGAGGTATTGTAATAGAATGTAAGAAGTTCAAGAAGATTCGAATGTAGTTTAGTTAGTAGAATGTAGTAGCTTAGTTCTTACATCATCTTTTTTCCTTAGAATCTGGTGATGTCTTTGGCTTTGGAGAAAATAAGCTTGGTCAATTAGGCCTGGGCAATGAAAATCCAGTTGTTCAGACACCCACAAAAGTGAGTTGATCCCTATCATCAAGTGCTAATGCCCTCAAAGGTTAAATATATGAAGTTAAGAGGAAGTATGAGGATATTGCTCTGTGATTGCTGTAGAGTATCTTTAGGAAGGCCATCAGAGCTGTGTTTTCTGTGTTGGAGTGGTTTCATCATGAAAGAAGAGTGGGTAAAGGGCTGGAGGTAAAGAATTGTAATGGTGTTTCTTGAGGTTAATATTATTGAGGGAAAGAAAAAGAGTTTACTTTAAAGCTCACACTATCACAATGATTAAGAAGAGAAAAACAAAGAAAAGGGTTGGTGAGAGTTTGGTGAATCCTACTGTGGGCCTCAGCCCAAACCTGATACTTAAATATCAGGTCTAGTTTACTCAATGAAACTGACCTAAATAAACAAGCCTAATAAACGGAGGTTCACTTTTTACTAACAAACAACAAAAACAACTTGATTTACAGGTCAAAAACTTCAGGTGTCCCAGGCACATAGGAATAACCTCCCTATCAACTCTTGACAATGTGCACAATTAATGAATGGGCTGGGGTGAAATGAGCCCTGATAATGACAAGAAATCAGTAGCTTTCAATCCTAACTTCAGGCCTTCAAACAGGAGAGGGAGTAACTTGAATCTTCTTGGAAGTAATTCATCTTGTCAGCATATGCTGATATCACAAAAAGGGCAGAAACACTCACTCTGGATGCAGTTGTTGGCAAGGTGATTATTGATATCACAGTAGTACCTTCAGAGTTCTTGCAAGTTCAAGTTCTGTGAGGGAGCTTTCAGTAGGTTGCACCTTTTTCGCATCTTCAAAGTTCAGAAAAAATGTTTTCCAACCATTACCACTGCTGCAATGTATTTAAAAGAGCCTAGTCCTATCAAGCAGATACTTAGGTCTAAAGGTTAACAGCAAAACATGGCTTTCCTAGACCTATACAGAAAAGAGCATCAACATCTTCACAAGGCATCCACTCAGAATAGACTGGAAACAATATAACCATCAGGGGCCCACAGAAAAGTGGGTGGCAATGATGCCATTACCCCATCACAGAATGAGAGATCAGGGGTAAGCAGACATAAGAGTATTGTCAGGTCAGGATATGGACAGCATTTATGCTGCAACTCCCCTTACTTTGTGATACATGCATATACATGTGTGATGTATCAGTAATTTTACCATTGGGGTAGGTTCACTCATGGTTGCATGCTTGCATGGAACCTACATGCATGAGAAATTATTTCCATTTTCAAACTTATGTCCACGAGAGTATTTCCACTAACACGGTCCATCTCACTTCTCAAAGTATGTGAAAATACCAGTTGACAAAGTCCTGTGAGTAACTTTCATGTAAATATCCTTACTTGTGTTTATCCACATTTAGAGACAGATTTACACATGATATTGCACTCAAATGGAAATTATGCATAGAAAAGATTATTACCATGTACCAGTACAACCATTGTTTGTGAGAGTAATTCCATGGAAATGGAATCTGCTCTATTTCTTGGAAGTACTTGCACAGGCAATGGTTATGATGGTAGAACCAATCCATCAATAGAGTATCATAGAGTGAATATCCCCCTGAGCTATTCCTTAACCTTAAGCAGGCATGTCAACATTATGCCTGGCCAGTAAAAGTTGGACTGCTTTGAACCCTACTTTCTGGCTCTGATTTTCAGCTAAGACCTCTCTTAAGACTTTGCTGAGGGCCAAACTTAGGATGCCTGATATAATTATGTTTGCAAAATTTCCATCCATGTCATTTTAACCTCTAAAATACAAGAAAATTGCTAGGAATAAATGTTATCATATATGTGTGTTTGTTTCAGATTCAGTTTGATGATGGGCCTGTGAAGAAAGTAGCATGTGGGGGTCAGTTCAGCCTAATGGTCAATTCTAAAGGTGCTCTTTACTCATTTGGGTGTCCTGAATATGGCCAGCTAGGTAAGAGGGTCAGACATCGAGTCTGCTTCATCTGATTCCAAATATTGATGATATGCCAGCAACTTCAAGCCTTCCTTTTTTTTTCAGGAAACAACACAGATGGGAAGTACTTTGTCTCAGCTAATCGAATGGCTTTTCATTGTGAGCTGAGGCCAATACAAGTGAAGATCTTCATTGACAAGATGCAGAATGGAATCATCATTCCTGTAAAAGGAGTTCGAATTGCTGACATCGCATGTGGGACCAGTCATTCGGTAGATTAGTTCCACATGAGCAAAACCAGGCAATTTTTTTTTTTCTTTCCTCCCCCTTCACACTCTGTTACTGTTACCTAGGTGGCAGTGGACACTGAAAAGCGGGTATTTACATGGGGATTTGGTGGCTATGGTAGATTGGGTCACAATGAAACCAAAGATGAACATGTGCCACGTCTGGTCAAGGGCTTTGTGGGTCTTCACAAGGGTGTGAAAAAAGTATTTGCTGGTAGCATTTTTTCCCTTGCCATCGGAGAGAGTGGTAAGTTGTGGTCAATCATAAGCATGCCTTCCTTTTTCTGTCTTCTGTGATGTTATCAAGCATAAGGCTTTTGTTGAAGGTGGTCTGTTCCTTTGGGGCCAGACAAGGAGAGCTGGAGAGGCCAACATGTATCCTAAGCCAATACAAGACCTCTATGGTTGGAACATTTTGGATGTGGGCTGTGGATACTCAAGCATTGTCGTTGCAGCTGATGAGTCTGTCATCTCCTGGGGACCTACACCTGCTTATGGAGAACTAGTGAGTCCCATAATTTTCAGCAAGTTGCATAGGCTGTTGATGGGTATTATGTATTTGCTCTTGAATTATGAGACACTGTGGCTTTCCATCAGGGCCATGGTGAGCGACAAAAATCATCATCTGTTCCCAAGGAAGTGGGCTATATGGATGGACTTAATGTCCATTCCGTCACATGTGGGATCTGCCATACCCTTCTCATTGCCAGGGATGAAACTGAGGAGGATCACAAAAAACTTGAAGCCCTCCCTGTTTTCAAACCCTAATGCCTCAGACTTTTTGATCTGTTCTCAGGTGATTTTTCTTTTTGAAGCTTTTTTTTCTTGGTTTTTGTCTTGTATTTAAATTTGAATATCCAGCATTCAGGGGTACTGAAGTCATGAGAGATTGTGATTTTTCATTTGATGGCTCCCTTGTTCCACCTTTGGAATTGGCACTACTCCTGTGAAGATCACATGGTGGTGGGATTGGCATATCCTAGCTGTCTAATTTTGCTCTCATGTCCTTAAGTAACAAAGTACAAAGTAGGGGAGGAGTAATATTTTGTGCTTTTTGTATTTTTCTACAATGAACAAGAAATAAAGCTTTTTTTATGTCTCTTACTGCACCATTGCTGTCCTTGCCAACCAGTAGTCTCAGTAGGTAGCATGTGTGGAAGTGACAAGTGTACTACATATATCCTGTAATAATAATAAAAATCAGGGATGGGACCATTATGGAATCTGTTACCGGAATCGGCCGATATTTGCTTAGACGATGTTTCCTAGTGTTTTAGCAAATATAGGCCATATCTAGAATCGGGATCTGATCAGTGGCGTAATGAGGGGGGGGGGGGGCTTCAGCCCCCCAAGTTTGGTTCAAGCCCCCTCCCCCAACTCTGGTCTAAATGCATCCCCCCCCCCCCCCCGCCATTCCGCTTAACCCCCCATTGGCGAAATCAGTGGCTACGCTACTGAATCTTATCCCTAACCGATAACCGATCTTTCCAATAAAATCGTCTGAGCAACTACCAAGCCTAGTGAAGGCGAAAACATCAGATCATGCCGAACGGCCATGTGCTTGAGTTCAGTATCACGGTGGAGCACACATGAATAACGCGTGAATAACGCCTAACTTTAAGGCGGATGCAAAAAACGCCCCGGCACGCAGGGCTGCCCAGAGGGGGAGGGGGGGGGGGGCAAATGGGGCAATCTGCCCAGGGCCCCTGGAAACCACTGGGGGGCCCTGCCGGCACGACGGGAGAGTTTGAAATTTCCACATTTTCATTCTTACCCATAGGACACTCGTATGCATTCCCCCAAGCGTCGGGTTTACCCACCTGGCCGTACCGTAATCATTCCTCTATTTTCAGTACAAAAGAATAGAACGAAACAAAAAAATTTGCTCTTTTGGCAGGTAACCATGAAAACGAGAAGTTCCATTCTGGAAGTTGGACCTGTTTGAATAATGAAAACTTCTATTGTATTTGTAATTGAATCGCTTATTTTTATGAGAATCCAATAGAATTTCTAATACAGTATATCGTTGAGAAAAAGGCCCCCTTGCACCCCCCCTTACCCCAGTGAAATATGCCATGTGCAGCTGCCTCCTTGAGGAGAGCATAAAACATCCTAATTACCCAAAAACTGGCAGATACGAGCTATGGTCTCTGCCTGCATTGGTTTCCAGCGATGTACGCAAATGTTCTAAAACACTCGGTTTTAATCGTGAAGTCAAACAACCCTGAAGCAACCTTGCCAAACCCAAAAGAGGACATAACTCTTTTTTCCCACGTGAATGGAGGCCCTCGTATAGCACGCCTAATTTCAGTTTGAAGGCGCAGTGATCATAGCAGGTGCTGAAAGCACCCGCCACAATCTCGAGGCATGCGTCTACGCGACGCTCCAGTTTCTCAGTCTAACGTAAACACCATCTAGAATCGTGCGCGTGACCTAATTCATACTACGCGGGAATTTTCTCTTCAGGTTTTGGCCACCTTGCCAAGAGCCCTGATTTCAATCCAGTTGAGCCACCATGGGATTAGCGTAAATAGGCTGAGATCTCCACGACCCCAAAACCTGGCGCATCTAACCAGTATACGAGATTAGGAAAGCATTCTGTTAAATTGTACTCTGGGTTTTAAAAAATGTATGCCAGATTCATTTTCCCAGAATAACTGCTGATATTGTCCGAGTGTCAAGTTTTTCTGCATGTAACACCTCAGAATAATAAGATGTCTAACTATTTTTTTTAGGCAAAAAAAAGCTAGCTCAGTGCTTCAAATACAATAACTTTCTAAGGTTGACGTATCGAAAATTGTATTAATAGTTAAGAAGCAACCTGTTCGACGGGTTGGGCGAAGACGACAGGCAATCACAACGACTAAATTAATATATAATAAATTCCTCTTATCATATATTACGCATGGTTTTGCATTTATCAAAGTAAAGGGTACCAGTTCATTCGATGAGATGCTTTTCCTCTTCACTATATCTCATGTTGTTCTTATATTCGAAAAACTCAAATCAATATGAAAAAATTGCAATGATGAGGTTAGGAATGAGACCAACAAAATTTAAAAGTCAATAATTAAAAATTCAACCGGAACCCAAAGCAACTGTAATTACGCATGATAAAAGGCATAAAAACCAGTTTCAGCAGTTGTATACCTCTACCTGTCAGCTGTACTCCGTCGTGTCAGTAACCTCAACAAACTGGCGTGCCTGGAGAGGAAGTTGTGCCAATTCCTTCTTCACTGCGATTTTCCACTAATTCAGCATTGAAAAGTTATCGCATTTGTAGCACAAGTTGAGTTTTTTTTTAATTCGTCAAATGTAAATTTAAATTTAAATTCGTTAAAATCTCTCGAATTGGTCAAAAAGGAGAGAAGAGAGGTCTAACAATACAGTACTTGCTTTAACAAATGGGAAGATTAATCGTTGACGCATAACTTATTCGTGTAAATAGAAGAAATCGACAAGAAATTTACCGCCATTGCCTAAAGTGTCATTTTTGGGATCTTCACGTTCGTGAGTTACACGTATGTGCACAATTTAGCGGTTGCACCGATACTGTGCTTTGTATTTATTGGGGATTTCCTCGTGAGGATTTGAGGTACGAGGATAGCTACTCTAGGTCAGTGGTCCCCAAACTTTTTGAGGCGAGAGCCACAAGGACCGCAAGGTCCACCTTGAATGGACCGCATCGAACAAATATGCAAATTTGCTAAATTTCTGCAAATTGAACCGTTCAAGTCTTCGCTTCACTTCCAGGTCGAGCTACTTTAAGCCAGGAAAACTCATTCTAAAATGAGCGGGAGTCAAAAAGTGCTTACACCTCCCGCATCTGCACACACTTCGACCCATTTTGATGAGCATCTATTTTTTTCTCTTACCTTTCACTATCTGCTGGCAATTCATTTGCCCTAGCAGTATATGAATTCTCTAAAATTTTAGGCAGGTTCAGCAGAACCATATATGAATATCTGAATGTAAATGCGTAATTAGAAGTATCTTAACTAGCCTAATATCTAACCAGACTGAAAAAGTAATTTATTAGAACATCGTAGTGGACCGCATAAAATCATGAAATGGGCCGCATGTGGCCTGCAGACCCCAGTTTGAATACCGCTGCCCTAGGTGTTTTGAAGAATCAGTAATCGTACATATGTAGGGTGGCTACAAAAAAAAACCAAGCTATTGACTTCAACGTGCTGTAAACCAGGCTGCAGCGTCTTGATTCGAGTAAGCTTTTTGGCACACATGAAACAACTCTTTTGCAGCAGATATAAAATCATATGGTATGATATCACTAGTTTTTTGCTTCATCAGGATGAAAATGGCCGCCTCCATTCAGAAAACTGCTGCAACAGTACCCGGCTGCCATTTGAGTTGGAGCAGCGACAGCTGTTGTTAATAACACATTTTATTTCCTGTATCAAAGTTTTAAGATGTGTTTCTTCCTTCTCCCACATATACAGTATATATATTTTTTTTTTGGCCAGAACAAAGCAATACCGAGTTACTCGCATAAAGACTTGCCAGTGATCAAGACCTTGCGATTTTTAATGGGATGGGAAGCCAGAAAAATGATGAATGAATTTCCTGGTAAAACAAACTTTCAGGTTGATCCTTCTGACTCAACACGCACATTTCGACTACTTCAGTATTCACTTCAGTTCTTTGGGTTCTGGGTCTTCAACTACCTTGTTTTCGAGTCCCTGATCCTGTTTTTAAACTCGCAAGGTCAACTTAGTTTTAGTATTTAAAAAAATATGCGTGGGAGAAGGAAGAAACACATCTTAAAACTTTGATACAGATCTGGTCAGTGACAGTCAGGCATATTTCAGCCTTCCTCGGGAATTCCAGTTTTAGCTATCCCCCTTCGAGGAAAGTCCAATGTCCATCCACAGACCCAAGATGCCAGACCACGATTTCTTCAAAAAGGTAAATTCCGGGTGGTGGAGCTAAACGTATGGTTGGGGTGTCTACCTGGCCTCAACTCACCCCTTGCCAATTTTCTGCCTACGCCACTGGTTTCTGGTATAATGAATTGCGGCACAGTTTGCCAGCTCACTTTTTCAAATAAGACAGCTGAGGGATAAAGCCTATCTGCTCACTAGGTAATCCTGAGTCCATTTTAGGAGGATATTCTGTCAAAAGTACGATTCTGTCTATTAATAGACGCTGAGGTGAAGTGCATTCAAAAATAGCATGAGTAGATGGCGCTGATGTATATACATCAATGCCATGCATAACATTGTTGAATCTGCGAGGACTGCCGAAGGTTACCATTATTGTGAGAGGACCGAAGCATTGAGCGGAAGTAGTAGATTGTATCCATGAGGGAAATAGCGGACCTCTTTTTTCATTTATATATACTTCTACACAATGCTATGAGCGAAGTTGTCCTAGCGATAGCCAACAATGTATTAGACCAGTGGTTCTCAACCTTCCTTTTACTCCCATTGAACCTTCATGCATTCGGGGGTGACACCTCCCAGGTTGAGAACCACTGTATTAGACGAAGGGGGCATTTACAGGGTTGTTATAAAGAAGCCACCAATTACTGTTTGACCACAGCTGTGGAACAATCGTAGTATTTGACAAGTTGAATGAGAAAATGGTATTTAAACTTCTTCAGGCAGTGGCCGCATACGGACGTGAACTACCTTTTGCGGACCACACTGAAAAAAGGCTTATTGGTGCGAATAAAAAAATTCTGTCTTTCTGGGAATGGTCTTTTTCTTTCTTGCGTTGCATGCGAGGGCTTTGCAGGCCACATGTAGACTCCAGGCTGCGGTTTGAGTACCACTGGAATGTTTTCTACTTTGCCCGCACGAAGGATATGGGGCTCTGTGGTTGCATATGCGAGGTAAAACATTGGTGTACGTGTACAGATAGAAAAATACGCCAAGGATTCTGAACACTCAAAGTAACATACTTAGCTCACAGTTTAGTGACGTGTCCTATTAATTCGGTGTTGTTAGCAGAATAGCCACTGTAACCCCCCAACAAACAAGGCTACGTTGAACCAACGTTGTATCAACGTTCCGAACGTTTATTCAATGTTGATTCAGCGTTTTGTGTTTCAAATTGATTGCTTGGCAGGGCCTTCGCAGAATATTCGCAAAGCACCTGCTCTGGAAGATGTCATAAAGGCGTGACATTGTTTTCATCCCAGTGACTGTAATCCGTGATGCATTCGCCCCATTTGTATACAGGTTGTACACGGTAACCTGCAAACATTCTAACATTCTATCAACGTTGCATGAACGTTATTTTTTAACCTTCCCAACGTATGGTTGGCGTTGCAGCTAATATTAAGTCACTATTGCAATGTCGCTTATCGTAACGCTCAGATAAACGTTGAAGTTCAACACTGGCTGAACGTTGGGCCAACATTGCAATGTCACTTATTGAAACCGCTCCCTCCCCATCCTTGTAACATCCCAATATTGGTTCAAGTAAGACGGCTAAGGAGTACACATACTGTTTTGTTCAGAGTATACTAATTTGTGTACTTTTCAGGGAACAATCCTCCCTTTCCTGCTCTGCGGAGTACTTAGAATCTCCTTTCCTCCCGCAGATGTGGAATGATCATTACTGCTCCCAGAAATGAGGAAGCAGGGACTCGATAGAAAGTACGTTATCATGTTTTCAGAAATTCCATTCATGTGGTAATAATATGGATCCAAGGGTTTCTCATCGGGAATATAAGCTTGTTTATCGCCTGGGCTCCATGTTTCTGTCTCAAATATATGGATAATAAATGATTAAGTGTCAGATTCTGTTGATTGCTATAATTAGACTAGGAAAAACATATGGTGAGGTACTAAACACTCCTGTAAGGGATGATTCCATGCAAAGAGGGAAGTGCACTTCAGTATATTGGGCGAAAAACGAGACCCATACCTCCATCTAATGGCCAAGAGAAGAACTTCAATCCCAGCAAACAATTTGAAACACATAACGTTGAATCAACGTTAAAGCAACATTGAATCGACGTTCGTAACGTTATACCAACGTTGGTCCAACGTAGCCTTGTTTGCTGGGATGTTTCTATTTAAAAAAATTATAAATGCAAACTAGGGCACATTGGATCATCGCGTCAGTCTGATATTGGATCAATGATGGAATGGCAATATTGGGAAGCAAATATTTAGTTGGTATTGACAATAATGGCAAGATGTGTATTGACATCGTACCCAATGTTGGTCAGCATTGAACCAATATTTGGTGTTTCTGGGGTGGTAACACTGGATAGGTTCTTGGTCGTTTGTTAAAAAAAAAAGTGTATTCCGTATTTGGCGATGCATGCTCCATGATACTACCATAAATATTATTCAAAAATGTGATTTAGAAGGTATCATAATGCTATAACACTGCTACAATATTCACACAACGTTGGACTTTGACCTTCAACGTCAATGACACTGTATGGACTCGGGGGGAATGTTCCCACAGCGCTACTATGTTTGCTGGGGAGGTTTCTTTAAAATCGCTCTGCATATTGGATGTTGTTAGCGTTAACTGTGATCCTCTGATATTCGTCTTCGTATGCATGGGAAGATCGTGCTAAGAGCATGCATGCACTTTGTTTTACTGTTTTGAGAAGGATCTTATTTTAAACCGTCTGGTTGACTACGTTGGAGGTGGGCTTCGATCTTACCAATGGTGTCAATGGAGATGAGATGGCTGCACGTCCACGTGAAGGTTAATAGACCAATATTCCAACCAGGCGGTCAAATCTTTAAAATGGTAGAGGAATAGGAAGGGGCTAAGTATTGATCTATGAGAGACACTCATTGGTGAATTGGCGCGGTTATGGAAAGAGGAGCTCGATGATGCTTTCAGAGCGGCGGTGCAGGCTGCGGTTGGGATTCGGTCAGATAATGAATGCTGCATCAATGCGTTTGTCTAGGTCTTGGGCTTTAAGGAGTATCCTAGTTCCTTCCCATTAAATTTTTGTCCACCCTTATTGAGAGAGGGAGAGGTGGAGCGAGTTCTTAACCAGATTGTTAGCAGGGATGCTAAACGAAGAACGAGAAGTGGTGGCGTCGACAACCGTTGTGGGTGCCATGGCGATTTGCTGACGCTCCTCTGTTCTCACTTTCACGATTGACCCCCAACTGAGAGATGTTTTCACTCATCAATGCTTGCTCACTCCCATTCCTTTCTTTCTTCATTTGCGATTTCCATCTCATCAGTATAGGTTACGTCGAGCGAATTGGTAGAAGCCAATTGCGATTTCACGGTTCGTAGCCCATCCGGATCGAGTTGATTCGATGGACTTCGGCTCCGAGTCCTACGTGTAGATAATGGCCTAATGTTCGGCTGAAATGGACATGGTTGTAAAATTTTAGCATTAAAGGCGATTGGTGTAAGTTTAATGTAAGAATGTATGGAATCAAATAGAATTCGCTGTATCCGTACAACGTTGGCCTAATGTTGGGCCTGGGTCCTATGAGTAACCGTAGCTTACTTAGAACGTACAATGGGTGCATTTTTTTGGATTTATTTCTCACTTTTTCGAATTTATTTAGTGCACACTCTATTGGGAAAATTATGAGATCAACTTCAGTATCACCCTTATTTCACAATATGCCCTTCATTTGTGTATTAGACCTTGTTTCTTTGTTGTTAAAGTGAAAGTTAACTACCAGTAGGCTTCATCGAAAGGTTAGAGTTGAATAAAGTCAAGCCTTAAGTTGAAAATGTGGGTCTAAAGCCAGGCATTAGCCTAGGGATTTATTGGTGTTAGCACGAAGTACTGGAGTGGTCATTTTGGTTGCTGTGTTTAAAGTTGTGTAAAACCATTATTCTGTATAATTTACATTGCTTTTTTCATTTGTTATTTGGTATGTTCAAAATGTGGATATTAGATAGGAAAAGTATAAAATGCAGAGGCCCTTAGTTGCCAAATGAGTGGAGTACATTGCATTTAAGAGCGGCAAGCAGTCAAAATGACTGCTCTGGTAGTTCTAGTAAAGGTCCTTGAGCTGCTTCCTTTCACCTGCTTCAGAGACAAAATGTCTTACTGTGCAAATACTGCCACTGGGACCCATAGGAGACAGCCTTCAACTGGTCTAGAGTGAAGACTGAAGAAAATTGAGTATTCAGGGCTTGTGCTTTCTCCATATCTAAGCTGGCTAGATTGCTCTTGTTGTTTAGTGTTGGTATTGAAATTACATTTTATCTCAGTGATCAATTATTACTCCATAAAGGGTTAGAGTTACCAGTAGCTCTCATATTCTCATAGGTGTAGCTATATAAGATCATGGTACTTACTCTTGAGTAATGAGTAGTTCTATATGTACAGGCCACTTTATGTAGAAAATCTCTCCTTTTAATAGATGCCGTATCCTTGGTGTCATCCATGGCGTGCATATTTTCCTCACTGTTTTGGAGGGTATGTACAGCTTGATCTCTTTTTGCAGGGTAGTTTTGAAGGACACCCAGAGCATTTTCACTGTACTGTTTTCAGAGGATGCTCCCTTGATGAGGGAGTTAGAATTTCCCTCTACAGTACTTATTCAGGGCTGTGTAATTGTCCCTGTTTTTTTGTTAAACCTCAGATTCAGTTTGATGTGGTAAACAACATAGTCATGATCACTTGTCCCACTGCTTCCAAAGGTTTTCTCAACAAGCCCAGGAAGTGATGTGAGAAGATCAAGGGTTGAATTAACATGTGCAGTCACTAATGCAAAAGTGGACTAGCCTAGTCAGATGAAAGGCATTAAATGGTAATCCAGTGCAATTCTGCCAATGGTCTTTTTCTCTCCTAGCTAACCTGCCTCTGACAGATCATTTTGCATTGGCTAACCTATCTCTTAGCCTGATGAGGCTTTTGGGTTACCTCTCCTCATGTTAACATTGCTTGAATAATGGCTTATAGCTGTCCATTACTCATAGGAAGATAAGTAACTCATATATACAAGGAATGAAACAATTATAGTGTTTGCATTTGGATTTGATGTTGGAAGATATGTAAAGTTGGTCAGGAAATACTATATGGGTATAGTCCTCGTGTGAACTTTTGTTTTAGGGTTTGGAACTAGTGACATGGCAACTACTGAGAAAAGACCCTTAGAAAGAGAGGCACAAGCCTCCTCAGATACTCCTGTGGAGAAGAAAGTGAAGGTTGTTGACACTTGTGATTCAGACGATAAACAAAATGATGGTGATGTCATTGAAAATGGTGCTGCTTCAGACACAAAACTGCAAGAGGAAAGTGCTGAAAATCAGAAAAAACACACAGATTCAAATGAATCTAATAATGGAGCCTTGCAGTCAGAAGAATCTTGTGAGTCAGAAAAGCAAGACAATTTTGAAAATAGTGCAAATGAAAGCTTAAATGACAAAGCTTCTGAGGAAGTGAGCAATAAGTTAACGGAAAGAGAGCAGGAAGAAGCTACAAATGGGAAAGAACAAGATGGGGAGGCTGCCGTTGCCTTAGATGAAAGCAGCCGAGATTCTACCATTTCCACTGGATCAGCATCAGGTGCCAATACCCAAACAGCACCTGAAGGAAAGAAAAGATTCGTAAGCCAGTTAACATCAGCTCTCATTTCTATATCAGTAAGATACCCCTTGCCTTATTGTTTCTAAAACTTGATTGGATTGCAGAGAGTGCCTCAGTCAGAGCACATTGGTGTTCTACTTTTGGCTGGACAGCACAACTGGGACATGTGTGGCCGACATAGGAACTCCAAGTGTGCAGAGAGGAGTTCTGAAAAGGGTCCGTTATGGACATTCCATCGGATCAAGGATCTTGAGGTTTGTTCTATAGTTTAATTTGCATTTGTAACTGATAACTCCTCTCTTAGCTGTGGGCAGGGAAAGTTATGACTGCTTTTTGTGAAAAAGCTGACAGTAGACCTGCTTTGTGACTGTGCGTATTAGGGTATTAGGGTGAGGAGAGTGGTATCACATTGCACTGCTGCACATACTATCATCATCACAGAGGAAGGAAAGACAATGGCCTGGGGTAAGTCATTTCCAACTTTAATAATAGCATACTTGTAATTTACAAGGTGTTACATATGTTTTGTTATGCCAATGCACTGGCTCAAGACAAGATGGGTACAGGAGTGCAATTGCTGAAGGAACTTGTTCCATTGCAGGTCGGAATGAGAAGGGACAGCTGGGTGTTGGGGATACTGTGAGGAGGGATCACCCAACCATGATAGAGGATCTCAAAGACTTTAGAGTTGTTGATGCTGCTTGTGGAAGGAGTCACACTCTTGTTCTTACAGGTATGACAGTTGTGCTTCTAAGATGTATAAGATGTTTTGTTCTGGCTTACAATAAAAGTTTTTTTCCCACAGATCGTGGCTCTGTGTTCACTTTTGGAGAGAACAAGATGGGTCAGCTGGGTCTGGGCAATCAACATCCTGTTATTCATACTCCAAGCAAGGTTTGCATCCCTGAATCTTGAGTCTTGTTCTGGTTTATGTCCAGCTGTTGCTGAAGTGGATCATTTTCTTCCCTTTGCATAGATCACATTCAAGGAGGGGCCAGTGGTCAAGGTTGCCTGTGGAGCTGAGTTCAGCATGATTATTACTAACAGGGGCTGTCTGTATTCATTTGGATGCCCTGAATATGGACAGTTAGGTAGGCTTAGTCTTTCATCTAGACTTTTTCAAAGAAGCAAGCTCAAGGTGGTTGAGTGAAAACTCATCAGAATATTCTATTTTCAAAATCTGGAACCTGTCCCTACCTGCACCTTTTCTCCAGATCCTCCCAAGAGAGATTTAGAGAATTTATGGAAAAAGGGATCAGCCACATCATAATGATTTACTGTACTTGTGTACAAATTTGTAATAGCAATCCTTCATGAGATAGTTTGTTGAGGTTATTACCATTCTGCATGAATTGCTCACAAAGAATGAGGATTGTCCCATGTGGAGTACACATGAAGGATGCAGCAGGTAGCTGCCATGTGTTGTGCATAGAAATAATTGATCTTTCCTGATTTCCTCCAACAATGATTTCCATGTTGTTGTATCATCAGTGTGAATATGGAGTCAGGGTCTGCATCTCATGGTTGACTGACAAGCATCCATACACCCTGTCCACATTCCTTCCACATGTCATGCTCCTCCTTCACCCTCTATCCCCATGCCTTCCTCCTCCCTGAAATCAATTTGAGGTGCATAATTTGAATTGTAACTTTTAATACTATCAAGAGTTGGCCTTGTTCTTTGAGGGGAAAAAAAACGTAATTTTTGTTTTTATTTTTTGACCAAACTGTGGCACACAGAGAACACCCTGAGCACCAAAGACCATTGCCATCTTTGTGTTTATATGTTCTATGCATTTGTATGCTTGTGTCTTCACAAATAGTTATACATTGCAGGAAATAATACAGATGGCAAGTATTTTGCACACAACAACCGTCTAACCTTCAATTGTGAACTCCTGCCAATACGGGTGAGCATCTTCATTGAAAAAACCAAAGAGGGCCTCATTTCCCCTGTGGATAATGTCTTCATTACGGATATTGCCTGTGGGACCAATCATACGGTATTGTCAAATTTAAATCTTCCATATATTCCCTGCTTCATGCTTGCTTGTCAAAAAATGACTGGTTGGACTTGAAACAGATTGCAACAGACTCTCAGAAACGAGCCTTCAGTTGGGGTTTTGGTGGCTATGGAAGATTAGGGCATGCAGAACCCAAGGATGAGTTTGTACCTCGACTAATCAAGGCCTTTGATGGCCTCAATCGAGGAGTAAAGAAAGTCTTTGCCGGGAGCATCTTTTCTCTGGCCATTGGTGAACTTGGTAATCTCTTGAAATTCTTTCCATTTGCCCTCACTTGACCTTTCTGCTGAGAAAATTCACTGTTGCAAATGTTTCTTTTACTCATAGGTGGATTGTTCCTTTGGGGTCAGACTAAGAGGGCAGGAGATGCAAACATGTATCCAAAGCCTGTACAGGACTTCCATGGATGGGATGTACGTGATGTTGCATGTGGGAATTCCAGCTTGGTGGTTGTTGCTGAGGACACCCTTGTTACTTGGGGACCCAGTCCCACCTTTGGCGAGTTGGTTCGTATCATCCCTTGATGCCTGAATCATGGAGACTGAAGAGTTTTCAAAATTGAGTAAAATGCTTTGTGCTTATTCTCTGGTCTGCATGATAGGGTCATGGAGAGCGGCTTAAGTCAACATCAAAACCAATGGAAGTGAGCTACATGGAGGGAGTGCACATCCATACTGCCTCTTGTGGGATTTGCCATACACTTCTCATTGCAAAAGATGACACTGAAGAAGATCGGCAGAAACTCGAGAAGTTCGCTGTGTTTGAACCTTGACGATCTGCACACATCTCATCTCATCTTGTCTTCCTTGCACCCTTCCTACATGCTGCACGAAGGCACCTCAAAATAATTAAGCAGGGTAATGGGTTGGATCTATCCTCAGCTCTTGCCTGTTTTACAGGGTATGACAAAAAAAGACTAAACTTTTAGCCAATAAATTTCTGCTTGTACTTATACTTTTTTCTTGCAACTTGGACTGTGTGTAGGCTGTTTCCATGGGATTTGTGAAATTTTGCCAAAATTTAATGTGCTGAAGTGTGGCTATAAGCAATCATTCAGAAGAGGGATATTAAAAATGCAGAGGAACCCATTCAGATAGTACTGGGGGGAAATGCCTTTATGCTCTGACTGCTTATCTTCCAGGCCACATTAAGAACTTTGTCTATTGAAATTTATTCTTTAGACTACCCATTTGTTTAAGATGGTTTTAATTAGTCTCTTTCTAATTAATAACTAATGAATCAATAGAGTTTGCTATATATTTCTTCAGCTCTCCTGCTTGTTAGCACTGGAGGAGGAAACAGGCAGAGTCAAGTCCTCCAAAAGTACTAGGACCCCTTGTCCATGTTCAATTTCTGATTAATTTTAAATAATTGGTCTTGACCTTGCCTTGGAAGAAAAAAATTTGGATGAAATTTCAGAATGTTCTTGAAAATATATATTAGTCTATACACAGTGTAAATTCAATTAAAATAGCTTTCAGTAAGACCAGAGAAGGAAAGGTTAAAGGTTTGGGTTTTTTTCCCAATACCCTGTATGTTTCCCTGCGGGCTTCTGTCCAGTATTTGTGAAAAGAGGTGAGGATAGTTTGGACTGTTCATATGAATGTGAATACGAAACGGGTCCATGCGTCTGTGACGCTCAGGGAATGACACCAAGCGTCCAACTCTTGTTCATCGATCGTGCAACCCATCCCTTCCATGGACATATCTCATCGTTGTTGTATGAGAAGATCTCCAGAAGTGACATTGAATATTTTCCAGTGAAGTCAATTGGAGACAGTATCGGAAAATGATGTTCTCTTTATTATATTATGTTGCCCTCAATAGAGTGGTGCCTTTTTTATGTCCTTTTTTCATCTTGCAATGCACCAGAAGAAATATGAAGCTAACTCATGTCTCATGTTTTGTGTACCTTAGCCGAATTCCTCTGTGTCTGTTGTATAGATTTGCTATGTTGTCCTGTTGGCTTTTTAAGGTCAAATGATCATGTCTATGAGAAACAAAGTACAAAGACCTCTCACATAGGTCTGCATTTTCTTTTGTGAATTTTTTTTTGCATCCTCATTTCTTGTTTTTGTAATCATGATCTTGGTTGTCTGGTTGCTCTGTACATGAATATTTTTCTGCCCAGCAAGGAAATAAAACCTTTTTTTTTCCAACCCAATGTCCTTGTCGATTCCCAAGCTTGAGTCGAAAAGGGAGGTCAGACACATTGGCGCTTGAGCCATAGGCACTGAATTGTTGATAAACACGGAGGGAGATGGGGAGGGGGGGGGGGCGGCTCAGAGACAGTTACTCTGTGAGCACCACATCTAATAAAAGCCTGAGTGCTGTCATCCATCTACCTGTCCATTCAATCCTTGAGCAAGTAATTCCAAGATATTCTATAACGTTTAATGAGAATGACAAATGAGTGCTCCTTTTTATGCATGTACTTAAACGCAATGAAATCATGGCAGAACCATTCCACTTCATCTTATAGAGACTCAGGTCAAGGTTCGGGTAGGGAAATGAAGTGGCATGGATGCTAATTGACATCCATTGACAAGGCCCAGCTTTCATATAAAATAAGGAGACTACCTCGCTTGAAGGTAGGTATTTTTTTAGGAGCTTATCCACCTACTGCCCGGTCATCTAAATCTACAATGTCTCTTATTTTTGTTGTTTTGTCCATGAAAGCATCTAAACTCAAGCTAGTCAAGAAAGGGGAGCCACTGCATCACTATTTTGTTGTAAAGCATGTATCGGTAGAGATGTGAACTCGTACACGCCCTACTTGGACGACCCATCCGCTTTTATCGGGGGAGGAGCTCTTCTGCCGATGTACAGAACAAAATCTAGGTCTACTCAGGCTATCCGAAAAATGTAAGAAATGGAAACCCTAGTGTACGTGAAAGTTGAAGCTGATGCTTGCATTTAAACTACATGCTGTAGAACCAGTGCTGAATTGCACGGGCAGACAGGGCCCTCAGTGAAGAAGTCGCAGTGGACTTCATTTTATCAGGAAATGTCGGAATGTCAGTGCATGCATTGGTTTGGATCATAATTATTTGTTAAATGTCTCAATCGTCACTTGACTGAAAATACTTGATTAATTACAAAGGATAATTAAATTATTATTGTGAGAATTAGTCAATAATCCTTATCGGTTATTCATAGTCAATCACTTTCCCCATCTTTGCTTCTTCATGCGTTCTTTCATGTCATGCCTTTTATTAAAACACATTTACATGCGCATTTCAGAACTTTTCCATGCATAAAAGCCGCTCCTTACTCATGAGATAATACATATATGTTATGGGAGAATGGGGAAGAGAGGAGAGAGATGGGGGAGGAACGGTGAAGGTGAACCCCAGGACTCTCAATATCATTCAACTGTCCCTGCATGTGACATCCAACCTGCCCATGCAAACTGAGACCTGCAGGTCTTTACTGGTGCCAACTGCTCCTCCCCTCTGCTAACTTAAACCTCATTGTCATCTTCAGATTCTACAGCTTTGCGAAATTTCATCTGAAGGCAGGATGACTTTTAAGGTTGAAAAGTTAGGAATCGCTCATAAAAATTTTTTGCACAGACTTAAGTGAAACTAATATTATTTCCTAATTTGAAAAAATTATTCGTCCCATTCGGTGGAGTGCATTCCTTCCCGCTCGTAGGATTCCAGTGATAAAATAAGTAGCTATTGCGAAAGTGAAGTAAGTTTATTCACGGATGAGAAACGCGAGTAAAATGGCCTGGATGGCAGAAGACGAAATGCGAGGAACAAGAGTTTGTTGAATTCGAAGCAAACTCTGTCGGGAGAGTGCCGAGGGAAAGAGATGAATTTAGGAACGGCGGGCTTAGAATCCTCGCTACTATGCTATTTCTGGCCTCGCGGCCGAAAGAAGAAAAAGGAAGGAGCTTCGTCATCGGCAATTCCGCAATCGGAATCCTTTGTCGATATCTCCCCTTCCTCGGTGCGGCCCGGCCTGGACTTAAATCCGTCCGTGTCTTCGATTTCGAGTGTCAGTGAATGCCCGGGAACCCGTCTGTAGGCGTTCCACGCGATCGGTCGTTGGCGACGAGGGACGGAGGGAACGCGGAAGGGAACCACGATCTCGATTTCCGGCTCGGTTTCCTGGAATCCCTCCATCCGAATCGGCCCGACGATCGCTTCGTTGTGGAAATCAAGTGGCAGTGAACGACGAGTCAGTAAGTCTCGCTCGACACCTCGGTTCGGATTCCATCCATTCCCTTCCAGCCCTGGGGGCCGTAACTAGAAGAGTCTTATTTATTATGACGCTGTTATGTTGCTATTAGGTTAGAGGATATTTATTAGCGTAACTGGAACGCATAATATTGGACTCATAGCATCCAGTTATCTGTGAATATAATATCACCCTAATAGGCCATTTAAACAGCCCTTTAAAATATGTTGTGGCTGTTCCTAATTATTTTGTCTGAGAAAAATATTTAGGGTGGATTTTTGAACAGAGCACTATCCGATAATGCTGCTTTGTTTACCGGATTTATAATGCATTTTCTCAGGAATAAAGCTGCATTATCGGATAGTTCTCTGTTCAAAAATCCACCCTTAATCTCGACAGAATTTGAAAACTTTATTCACAGCGTCTCGCAACATTGTATCGAAAAGTCTTGGCATTATTTGATGCAAGTGCGTCAAATGAGCTTCCCAAGTCAGCATCATCGGCGACGGTAGCATCTTCCGACTCGATGTCAAGGTCTGGAACTCCAGCTCTTCTGCACATGTTGTGGACAAAATCTTTGTGGCACTAGTCACAATCATTTTGCACCATTTTCAGGTGCCACTTGCAACGATCCGCATGACTCGAGCAGACACCTCAATCTCGACTTCCAAACCCCAAAAACGTTCAATGATGCATCTTGTCTGCTAGAGAGCTTTCTTATACTTTCTCTCGGAAGAATATTTCATTATGGGGGTCTAGAAGCACATTTGAAGAGCATAGCCACTGTCACCAAGCAAATATCCGTTCCCAAAAATCCCCATTCTCAAATCGCATTTTGACGTCACGTGTATTCCAGATGAAGCTGTCATGTGTGCTTCCTGGACGCTTGGCAACAATATTCGTGGAGATAAGATCAGAGTTGCAGATGCCTTTAACGTTGATTGAATGAAAGAATTTTCTGTTCACGTAAACTTCCTCATCTGCAGATGGAGCCTTGATGGAAATTTGACTTTCATCAATTAAACCAAGGACTATTGGGAACTGTACGATGGCGAAGAAACCTTGCTTTATGGCATTCTGTTCCCTGGGTTCTTCGGAAAAATAAATTATACTGTCACCAAGCAAATATCCGTTCCCAAAAATCCCCATTTTCAAATCGCATTTTGACGTCACGTGTATTCCAGATGAAGCTGTCATGTGTGCTTCCTGGACGTTTGGCAACAATATTCGTGAAGATAAGATCAGAGTTGCAGATGCCTTTAACGTTGATTGAATGAAAGAATTTTCTGTTCACGTAAACTTCCTCATCCGCAGATGGAGCCTTGATGGAAATTTGACTTTCATCAATTAAACCAAGGACTATTGGGAACTGTACGATGGCGAAGAAACCTTGCTTTATGGCATTCTGTTCCCTGGGTTCTTCGGAAAAATAAATTAAATCATTAGCTCTTTGGCACAGAACTTCTGATACATCCTTGATGACTCATCAGAAACAGTCATCCTTGTCACACCAACGAGGTCGCCAGCTTCACGGAATAAATCTCCTGTTGCAAAAATTTCTCAGAGCAATGAGGACTTGCAGATGGAGCCTTGATGGAAATTTGACTTTCATCAATTAAACCAAGGACTATTGGGAACTGTACGATGGCGAAGAAACCTTGCTTTATGGCATTCTGTTCCCTGGGTTCTTCGGAAAAATAAATTAAATCATTAGCTCTTTGGCACAGAACTTCTGATACATCCTTGATGACTCATCAGAAACAGTCATCCTTGTCACACCAAGGTCGCCAGCTTCACGGAATAAATCTCCTGTTGCATAATTTCTCAGAGCAATGAGGACTTGAAGGCTTACAGAAGGAGATCGCTTTCTACGAGTGGGTCTTCGTAACTCGTCCAGTAATTGGATGCAATGAAAGAAGAAATCACAATGACGAGGTCTATGAAATCAACGCTATTATCTC